TTGAAGGTTTAGGGTTTAGAGCTACGATCTGGGTTCCAGGAGACCCTGATCCCTGAACCCTTTTGCAAACAGACACACGCAGAAGGCTTGTGATATCACTCTTCCCTCTTTGGCGAGGCCTCTAGGTGTCCCCAGCAATCAGAAGCCTGTCAATACCATCACGACACAGCAAATCATCGCAAACATAGGAGGGTTCCCAAAATCAGAGATAATGTTTTTGGGTGTCCCCATAGTACGGAGGATTCTAAAAGATTGGGATCCATATTGGGGTCCCCCTATTTAAGGAAAACACCATATTGGACTGCTGTATTTTCCTGCTGCTCAAGCTGCTATGGTCCAGGTGCAGCCACGCCGAGTGCAGTCAGAGGAGCTGGTCTCAAAAGCACAGCCTGTAGGAACGTCAGCTTCTGAGCACCAGCCACCATAGATGCTCCTGCCGCGCCAGTTGCATCCAGGCATGGATGCGCAGGCCTCATCCAGCAGGCAGATTGACAGATCCAAGTTGCACTTCGCATAGCTCCGAACGAACCTCGGCATCGCTGGTGAAGCTGCAGCCTGAAACCAATTGCAAAGATCTGCTTGTACAAATAATGATAACAACATTAATAATCAGAATAAGACTAGTCACAATATGGATATGAGTAAGAATATTTATTTTCAGTTCAGCTTCACACCCTTCAGGGCGCAACGCCTGGGTTCTGCCAGCGGGTGCCATCCCCACGGCAGCCGTCGTCCAGGTCGCTGCGCTCCCAGCGGCACCGGGGTTCCGCAGAGCACTCCACGCCGTCCAGCGCCGCGCAGGCGCTGCCAGGCAAAGGCTTCAGGGCCTTCTCCCTGCACCAGCCTGCGGGCCATGAACAAGTGAAAGTCTGGCTTATTCTTGCTGGTTCCTTGCTGATCTAGCTCAGCGCATATCAGCAAGCGTCAGGATGCAAAGTGTAGGCTTTAGCAGCTCTTGGTCAGAGGTCCGAGCCCACCTCCATAGGCCGTCTCGCGATTCCAGCTGCAGCCCGGGATGTAAGCGCAGACGTGGCGTCTCCAAGGAGCAAAGCACAAGTAGGGATTAGAGCTTATAGGGTTCAGGGTTTAGGGCTCACAGTTTAGGGCTTTAGGATGCAGGGTTTAAGGTTCCGGGTTTAAGGTTCAGGGTTAAGGTTCGGAAGCATGTGCCGCCAGATTCGCACAAGATATGTGCCGCCAGATTCACACCAGATTCGGGCATTCCTTGCGAAAAAAGGCTCGAGCGGCTATCCTGCTGCCAAGACGAATGCAACCTATACTCTATTGAGGAAAACCTACACTCACTACTCATTCTATTGGATAATTTCAAGGGCCCCCTCACGCATATCTAAGACTGCTTTATCCCAGTAAACCCTATAAACCCTATAAACCCTGTAAACCCAGTATTCTGGGGCAACCTTGAGCGCCATGATGCCAAGCCACTCCGCTAAGCCACAGACTTTGAAGGAGCCAGCGCAGGCAGTCTCCTACCACCAGCGCAGGAAGAACATCTTTGGCCCAAGTGTTCTGACCCTGAGCCCCCTATCGACTTCCTGCTTCCTCTCTCCTATTCCCGCTGTTGCTATTACTGAACGTATTGTTATCGTTAATGTTCTGAGAACTTATTTGGATTAATACTACTTACTGTTAAGGCAACATGCTTTACCCCCAACTTTGGCGCAGAGCTTGGAGCGCCTCTGGCTTCGTCGCTGCAAGAGGCATCTTTCCACGTACCAGGCGCGTCTGAAGCAAGGAGACTTCCAACAGCGGCACCTCCCATCCGAGGGCTGAGGAATTGGGACTTGGTTGTGGGAAAATGTCTGTGAAGGGGGGGGGGACCCAAGGGATATGTAGAATGTAGGGACAATAAGGCTGTTCTGGGTGACCCAAAAAAAGCTTCTAGAAGGGTAGTTTTGATACACACCCTGTGGTGCGTCTGTTGGGGGACCCGTTTTTCACTCTTGCATCTGGAAGTGTTCTTGTATTGCTGCTCTCCCGAAAAGACACCCAACATATATGATCTCACCAGGTTTCGAAGGAACCCTACGTGAGCTATAGTCTAAACTCCTAGTATCCCCCTGAATAACCCCTATCGTAGTCCCTTATTTAGAAACGCTTATGTAACTCCCTTTTCAGGAGTTGGGACTATAGCTCACATGTACGAAACTGTCACTGCCCTGCCTCATCGATGTCTTCTGCTGCGGCCACCCCGGCCAGGAGACAGAGCCATAGCCGAACCATCAGGGCCGAGGGGTCACTTCTAGGGGATTATTGGGGTAGTCTAGGCATCACGGAAAAGAAAATGGAAACTACTATAGTATGTTGGGGCAATATAGGGATACTTTTCGGGGAATGCTGGCAGTACGTTGCAGGATTTATGGGCAGATGTAGAGAAGACCTGTCTACATTATACAGGCTACTTGAGGCAAATGTAGAGAAGACATGTCTAGGAATCTTGTTATATGGGCAGGGAGGGAGATTTCGTAAGAACTACCAGCACAAGGGGCACGGTCAAATAGCAGGCCAGTTGTGTAAGGTTCTATTAAGAACGTCTGCTCCCGAAATTCGCATGGAGACCCAGCGGGTGGGCTTTCCCGCTTGAGGAAGGGCGGAGGCGGCGACATGCCGTGGCAAAAGCCATGCTCACTGAGCTCGCAGTTTGCTTGCAGTTTGCTGGACATTTCGCAGGACTTTTTGCTGGCATTTTCGTAGTAAAATCGAGAGCGAAAAGTTTGATACAGACAGGGCTAAAGGAGCAGCTGCTCAGTCAAACAGCGACGCGAAGTCCACGTCGGACTTGGCCTCAGGCTTTGCCTCGCGCAACAGCTGATGGAATCCGAGGAAAACAGAGGGCTTGGTGGACAGCCTCAGATGATGATTGGAGAAGAGAATGTATGGGGTGCATACTCCATGAAGCCCGTATCAAATGTAAGTGTACATTTCATGTTCCATGTTCTGTTTCATTTGATTCTCCCTTGTTGACCCTTCTTGAAACCAGGGCGATAGCCTTTGAACCGGCCTTGGCTTTCTTGGGTGCGGCAGGCGCAGGAGGGGCCTTGCAGCATTGACGGAGCAGACGGAGCAGAAGCATCAACACAGGTCAGCCAGTTGCTGACAAAGCCGGGCCTTGACCTCCTTCTTCTCTTCCTTCTTTTCTGGCATCTTGATATCGGGAACCTTGACCTCAGCGTACTGCAGTCATCCTCTGAGCCCAAAACTTAAGGTCTAGAGTCTAGGATTTGGGGTTTAGGGTGGAAATGCCGGCCTCAGGGAGCTTCACATCCGGCACTTTGATGTCAGGAACCTTCACCAGGCGACATGTCCCCATGTTTTGGAAAGCGGGAGAAGTCCGGACGGGAAGGGGGTTATCTGAGGGGCTTCCTGGTCCCGATATATTGTGTCAGAATCATTATGATAAGGGACTCCCCAAAAGGCACCTTATTTGGAAATGTGCATATGAGCTACAGTCTACTCTCCTAATATCCCCCTTATTTAAACATAGAATAGTGCCTAAATAATCCTTTGTGTAACCACCCTTAGAGGAGTTTATAGCTCATATATACTACAATATACTATAATATTGTGTAATATACTATAATATACTATAATATACTAAAAACGGTTGGCGCCTTGAAGTCGGGAACCTTCACGTCTGGCAGCTTGGACTTGATGTCAGGAAGCTTCACGTCAGGCACCTCCATGCCCAAACTGCCCCCGATCACATACATCGTGTGAATATTTAGTTTAGAATATAGACATGTTCATGTATGATGTCGTGTGTGTGTGTGTATATGTATATGTATATATATATGAAGCTAATATGTAAATAGCCTGATGAATTCAATTTGAGGACTCCATAAACAGGTGTCATTGTAAGAGGCCCGAAGAAATCGTAAACCCTGAACCTACACCCTCAACCCTGACCTGCCTTCAGGTTTGGGATCTCCACGCCCTGCACAGCAGCAGGCAGGACCCCATGGCATGTGGGACAGCCAGAGCCCTTTTTGCGGGTCCCCATAAGCAGGATTATAATATATTGGGGTCTATATTGGGCTCCCCCTGTCTTGAGAAACTACCAAATAGTTGCCATAACGTTGAAACCACAATACTATAGCATGAGCAAATGTAATGGTGTCAATGTCGCGTTGCTGTTTAGGAACTTAATGTAAGTTAGCATCATGGGTATATATAGTACTTATTATGGTTCTTCCATTATAGTGAATGAAATGAAGTTCCTTAACAGCAACTCCAGAAGATTGCGAGTCCATGGGTTCAGAGCTTCCGCCTTCGGCAGCGAGAGCGAGGACGCCGATGGCAGCGTGGGCATGCTGACGTCGGGCAAGCTGATGTTCGGGGCGCTGATGCTGGGCAGATTAGCTCCTGCAACGGCCAGGATTGAGCTACTAGTAGGGCTTAGGAATGTTTTAGGGATAGGGTTTTCAGGGTCTAGGGATGTGATACGCACCATGTTTCCTGAAATCAGAACCATGTAGAAGAATTCAATTGTACTGGCTTCTTCCATGTTAGGACGGATGTCTTCCTTCCACATCGGAGGAACTCCCCTAGACCCTAAACCCTACATTCTCAACCCTAGATCCCAAATCCTGAATCCTAAGCCCTAAACCCTAAACACCTCACTCTAAACCCCGTAACCCTGAATCCTAAATCCTTAACCCTAAGCCCTTAACCCCAAACCCCTTAACCCTGAACCCTGAACCCTAAATGCTTAACCCTAAGCCCTAACCCTGAACCCTAAACCCTTAACCCTAAACCCTCAATCCTTAACTCTAAGCCCTTAACCCTGAACCCTGAACCCGAAACTCTGAACCTCCAATCCTTAACCCTCAACCCCAAACCCTCAACCCTAAACTCAGGATTCTGCTATCCTCTCACCGGCCTGCGCGGATGCCTGCCGCCGCAGTGGCTAGGAAGAGGCCCAGCGCCTGAAAGGGCAGAATGGGGTTTAGGTTTAGGGGCAAGGGTTAATTTAGGGGTTTAGGCTTTAAGGTTGAATAGATTCAGGGTTTAGGGTTCAGGGTTTAAGGTTTAATAGGTGTAGGCTCCAGGGCTCAATATTTAGTCTAGGGTTCAGGGCTTAGGGTTCGGCAAGAGGCATGATGCTTTCCCAAAACTCCTGAAAGTCAGCAAGGTGTGCCACACAAATCCGCGGATTGGACTACCCCCAAAAAAGTAAAGTTTCCCATTACATACACCCTAAACCGTTGTTTTTACAAAATGGTACTTGCAATTGAACTGTCCATTTGCTCTTCCTGTGATTCACTATCCCAAGGTAACCCACTGGAAAGTCTATACTTCTACATGATCCCTATGTATCCCTATATCTGTACACCTATATCTATGTCGAGTCTATACCCCCTATATACATCACTACATATCGGGGGTGTGTGTGTATATATATATATATACATACCCAGTGGAAGGTCCAGGCACGGCCAAGTAGGAGAGGCCCTCGGAGAGGCCCAACAAGCCAAGGGGTCCTGCAGGCAAACCTGCAGATGGGAGTGTTAGGGTTTAGGATTTAGGGTTTAGCGTTGAGGGCTTAGGGTTTGGCTGTTTGAGTACAGGGATTGTAGAGGAATAGGGATTCTAGAAGGACATATAGGGGTTGTGCATGGATATATGGGGTCTAGGGTTCAGGATTTCTGCCTGGGGCCTGGTATAGGGTCTGATTCGGGTTCCTTTTGTTCTAACTTCTTGTTGGCCCCTCCTAAAAGTAAAAGCGGCGGTAAGACGTATTCGCTTAGAGTTCAGGGTTGACGGCTTAGGGACGAACGACAAGGGCGGCAAGTTTCCCCACATGGATCTGAGAATGCTATGAACCTGAAGGCTTCGATCCTAACCCATCTGCCTAGCCCACCTGGATCCTTAACCCAAACCCCGAATACCCCAACCCCTTCCCAACCCCTCAAGTTACTCGGGGTGTAATAGGGAATAAGGGATCATAGTATAAATATAGGGATTGTACATGAAATGCATTCCCCTTTTCCCTACTAAGCATGAGTACATCAACCACATCATGGGCCCGTGGTCAAGCCTCGCCCGCGTTGAAGGAAGCTGCCCACCGACCAGGCGACCAAGCCTTCAGAGGTAGAGAGTTGGAGAACTCCAAATGCGCTTAAGGTTGTTTTGTGGCTTAGGGCTGTAGGTACCTAGATAAGTGGCTCCGCCCACAACTTTGTAGATTTCAAGCTGGAAGATGCAAGGATTCTGAAAGAACATATCCATATCAGTACTCACCAAAGCTTCCATAGGTCCGCCATAGGTGTCCTACGTGATCCCACCTCGCCGGGCCTACCCCCCCCCCCCTGACGTGTAAACTTCGAAAATACAACTTGCTTACGCATTGCTTGTACATAACCTGAAAAGGGTAGAGAGTCTTCCAGAAGTCAAGGCTCATGTAGTAGAGGGTGTTCTTAAAATGGGGTTGCCTTTACAGACCCGGACCCTAAGACACATAGCAATTACAAAGATCCCTCATCACATTTGCCTAGATGTTCCCTGCGTCCTCTTTGAAGCCTCTGCTATCCCAACAGTCCACAGATTACAAACAGACCCCAAGCAAAGGCAGCAGCTTCTCTCTTGCAATGTGGGGCCCAGACCCAGGGAGACCACGCTAGAGAGCAGCTCAAAGCCAAAGAAGGAGAAGCTCTCACCCCTGGGAGCAGTGGAACTGAGGAAACAATAGATTACATTAATGTGAAAATGGTGTGTAAATATGTGTTTATTCATGCATATTATTCGTACGCGACACGTGCAACCTGCACGGCTTACGGTATCACAAGAGACAGGAGCACAAGCAAGAATCGCCGAAGCCTCGCGATGTTCACAGCCGTAAGGAGGGCATAGCCGGTGTGTGGCAGGAATGCGAGGCCCACCACGAAGCCGGAGAAGCCCGAAATCTCCACCGAATCCTCATCAACACATCGCAAACTAGAAATCAGGGGATCGAGAAGGCACACCCGGTCCCCGGAACTCATGCAAAAATGACTCACAGCCTCTTAGGCTCTTAGACTCAACGATTTGAGTCATTTTTAAAGGATCCAAACAAGGCGGAGGCCCGTAAGACACCCCCTGCATCCCTCTGGCGTCGTGAAATCCTGAAATTCGGAGTCTATGAGGGACATGTATATGTATATACACATACAAAATATAAGGTGTTTTCATGCTTATATGATCTTTGCTCCCTGGTGATTCCTCGGCGCTGTTGTCGCTTGCGAAGCGGGCTGTGCGGAGACCTTGCGCAGCTTCAACTTCCATTCTCACACACGAGCTGTCCTTTCTGTGCGAAATGCTCTCATACCTTGGGGTATTTGGAACCTCACAGTCGAAACAAACCTCCTTGCGGTGCCAGTCGGCTGCGGGACATCAGAGAATATTAAGGAAAAAGGAAACCACTCTGTCTTGAAAACCTTCTCACTGCTGTGTTCCTCAAACTTTGCACTCTCCCAAATCGAATAGCCACTATCTCGCTTTCCCTTCCCCAGGCACCACGAGGGCTCGGGTGGCTTGGACGATCCGTGGAAAGCTTGGGGGCGACGAAGGCGTCAGAGAAAGCCCATCTCCACAGGCAGGTCCTCAGCTGCAAGTGACCTTTTAGAAAACTACCAATGCTAGTTATAAGTAAGAATAGTCGTAGCAATAATATTAACCATCATAGTAGCAATAGTGGTGGCAGCAGGAATAACTCCTGCTGCTAGAAGATATCTCTGTCTGTGCCATCCTCAGGTGCAGACGCCACAGCCAGCAGCACAACAGCTGCCAGCAGACTCTGCCTGGCCACTGGACCCCAAAGGAGCTCTGCCTCCTTCTAGACATCAAGATGACGACTTCCCAAAATTAGGGATCCCATTTTGGGGGTCCAAATATCCGGGATTGTAGTATACTAGGGTCTATATTGGTTTAGGGTTTGGAGTAGTTATAAATTATACTGCGGAGATAACCCCCAAAACGGGTGCAACAAACACCAAGGTAGCCAGAGCATGGGTCTGCACGACGGCCTCCGCCCTCGAGCCATGGCGCCCACTTAAAAGAGACACAAAGCTTGAGAGGAAAAGGGGCGAAATATGGTACCAAATGAGGATTATTCTTATTTCTCTGAAGAATATTCGTATGTCTACTATTATTACTACTATTACCTATTGTCAGTAACTGTTAGTATTAGTATTGTTATTCTTATTCTTATTGTTTTGCTAGATTCAAAAAGTCAAATGTAACATATGGCCATGCTTTTTCATGGTTTCTTCTTGAGAGTATGGGTCCTGTTGGGGTATCCTTGACGACGCTGTCGCCATCTACCGTAGAACCCAACTACAGCAGCTACCTGCTGGCACCTAATATAGACCCCCAGTTAATCAACCCCCTCCCCTTAATGGAATTATGATAAGGATCGTAACATTAAGGTCCTTAAAAGGAGGGGGTTTATTAATCACGGGTCTACATTACCCGCATACTTTGGTCTGGGCAGACTTTCCGACGACTCCTCTCCTTCAGAGAGGCCGGAAGCTTTGAGCGGCCCCATCAAGACCAGAGTCCTTCTGAAAGAGGAGCCTAGATGGGGCTCTGCTCTAGACCCCACAATACTATAAACCTGATTATAAGCATCCCCAAAATGGTACCCCTTGCTTTAGGAAACTCCCATATATTGGCTTGGGAGGGGTAGGAAACTGGACTTTAGGGTCTTGAGGGGCGAGCCGCGCAAAACGCCTTTGACCTTAAGTGAAACATGTAATGTGAGACCTTCACGTGAGACTTCAAGCTCCCGGCGTCTAGACGATTCTTGCTGGGCATCTCTATATAATCCCCTTTAAAGACTTCAGACGATAGCTCATATATCCATTACCCCCCTTCCTTATAGCTTGGGCTCAGGTCATGGTAGCAGCCAGCTTGGCCTGCGCGGCTTGCGGAAACTTAACTGGGGGAAGCTTTGGGCTTCAGATTTTCGGGTTCAGGTTTCAGGGTTTGAGGGTTTGGTGTTTAGGGTATAGGCTTTAGGGTTTGAGGGTTCAGGGTCTAGGGTTTAGAATTTGCTTAGGGTCACCTCTAAAATGTGGAGGCTTTAGGCTCTTAGCCGGGAAGACATTAAACATGAATAGAGTCATCCAGGCCTATATGGGGTTCTATCTAAGATGTACAGGGTTAGATGTGGATCTATAGGGATATGGGTTTGGGAATCTTCGGAGTTTCGAGTTCAGGGTTTACAAGGTAGCAGCGATGGTGGTTTTGCTGGTTGAGGCACCCTAGTGGCGGCTAATCAGATGGGAGGCTATTACCCTAAACCCTAGACCTTAGCCCTGTAACAACGAGTACAACGGAGAATAAGGACTACATTAATTAAGGTCCTAATATATTCCTATTTCACCATTACAGGGTGGGGGGTCCACCTAACCTGGACCCTACACAATACTCAATATTTACTGCCAGCCAGCTCCAAGAAACCTAGGATTGTCTTCAGCAAGCCTTCGTGAGCGGGCTTGGAACTGGATCCGCTGAGTCCTGCGCAAGAGGCGGGGCATCAGACAACACTATATAGGGGGTTTCCTAAAATTACCCTCACCCTGCCCCAATTTGCCCGCAGCATCTTCATGTTACGTGCGCATCCACGGTCATAGTATCCATATAAATCCCTCCACAACTGCAAGAGTACTGCTCTTCACAGCGAAACAAGATACTAGCGAATGCATGCCCAGATCCATGACAACGTCAACCACGACCGCATCCACAACAAGTGAACTCATGCCGGCACCCATAATATAACATTCACTTCAACCACATGCACAACCACGAAAACACTGCTATACACAGCACATTCCGACGAGGATGAGCGGGCATGTGGCGCGGACAAAGAGGGGGGGGGGCAGTACCTTTTGGGGGTCCCAATAACAAGACTATGGTATATTAGGGTCTCCTTACCTAGGGAGCCTACCATATGCCTTTGGCTTAATGCGAGGTCAGGGTTGAGCACTTAAACACCAAAGAGAAACCGAATAAGCCCTAGTTGCTGTCATTCTGCTCTGTGAGATGACAGTGCATGCCTTGGCTTTTTCAACAGGGCTCGTGACTCCATTGCAGTACTGCCTCTTCTTGTTTATGATTTGGGCATTGAGCTAGCATGGCAAACGGCGGAGTCAGGCCCTTAGAGCCCTGAACCTTAACCCCCAGAACCCCTCCACCCCCCCAAAATAATGCCAAAACTTTTGAGACCCGAATCCTTAAACCTTACAAACCCTAACTCCCAAACGAATCCCAAACCTCTAAACCCCTAACCCCTAGCAGGCAGCGGGCCAACCTAAACCCAAACCTATCAAGTTAGGGTTTATAGGGTTTAGGGTTTAGGGTTCCAATCCCTGGCTCCTGGGAGCCCTGCAGGAGGCTCCGGCCCTTCGGCAAGGCCGGTAAACTGCGACTCGTGGCCAGCGAAGTCGCTTGCCTACCGCGAGCACGGGGAAGGCTTAGGGCTGAGGGCTTAAGGGGTTAGAGTTTAGGGTTTGGGGTTTAGAGTTTAAGGTTTAGGGTTTTAGGGTCTTAGGGTCTTAGGGCTTATCTGCAGGGGCATCTCGCTTCACGCCTGTCACAGGCGTCCTTCAGTGTCCGGCAAGTATCCAAGTTGGTTCGGCGCCTTGGCGAAGGCTCATACAGGGGGTCTGTAGGGCTCATATAGGAATATAGGATTTGAGGGGATGCATGTAGAAATGTATAGATTACCCCAACAGTAAGGAGATATGGGGGTATAACGGAAAGGAAATAACAAGCTACTATTCGCGACCTAGGGGGTTGAATTGTCTCCCACATTGGACACCACGCACATACACTCACCAATATTCCCAAGGCTACATACGCTCGCCAGATCCTACAAATAGATCCTAACATGATGCTGCACTGCTACTGCTACTGCTACTACTTCTACCGAGCACATTCAGCTCTTGCTACACCATTACTATTACTACTACTCCTTCCATTCCTATTACTATTGCTAAATTACCGTTACCATATTACATTTACTACTGATATTACTGTGACTATCTACCACCACCGTCATGTGGTCTCCTCCCGCTGCTTCTCGAGGCCGCCGCGGCTTTTCCGGCTTCTCGGAGTTCTGCACCACCTCCTTGGCCAACTCACCCTGCACCTGGCAACTGCTCAGACCCTCTCGTAATACAGTACTATAGTAATACAGTAATGTAGTAATATCATAGTAATATAGTAGCATAGTAGTATAGTAATGTAGTAATAGTAATAAAGTGATATGGTAATATAGTAATTAGTCAGGAAGGTTTGAAGGAGTGCGTGTTTTTCGAACTTTAATAGAAGATAGTTTGACGGTTGGCAGTTCCCAAGATCCCCGTGCCTCGCGCAGCGCAGCCATGTAGGACCTCACACAGGAACAGGTGTCAACTTCAGTCAACTTCAATCTATAGTCCCCCTTAAGTAGATGGAATATGGGGTATATGGGGATCTTATTTTAATATGCCCCAAGTCATATTCTACTTAAGGGGGACAATCGGTGGGGGTCATATGGGGGGTCCCAGAAATTGGGCCATGGTCTCAATCTCATCAAGTCCCACTTCAGTCGGCTTGGGCTTCCCACATGAAGGGCGTGGGCTCGTCCCCCTTGCGCTTGTTCAACAGCTCCTTGCCCGTGGTTCTGGAGCTCTCGTCCTTGATGCCAGGGCCTCTTCAGGTGTGGAGGTCACTATATTGCTATACTACTACCTCATTATAACTCGATTTTTTTGCTGACCTTTACTATATTGTTATTGACTGCCAGAGAAGCCCAGGTCAGGCCTCGCGCAGGCCGATGGCGCCTCAGGGAGGTGAACGAACAAGGGGAGGAGCCAAAAGCAAGTGGATGGGCCCCGGCACTTTCTCTTTGCGGGCAGGGCCACACTCCTCTTCAGCCACCGCCTGCAGATTGGGGAGGAATGGAAGGGTCTGAGAATCCTGTGTTTGCAAAATTTGCAAAAATTGCGACTTTTTTTATGGCTTCGCCAGCAGCTGGGGCCAGGCCAAGTGGGCTCCCAAGGAAGGCCGTTGCCATCCACCTCCAGAAACTTCAAAAAAAACTTCAATCAAAATTTCCTCTAGAAAGTTCAACCCGTGGCTTCCGAAGGCAGAGACTCTGAAAGATGAGGCCCAAACCTGCCACAAAGGTCTTCAGCAGCCAGCGGTCGCTTCCGTCCTGGAGCGAGGCATCAAGATCAACAACGCCTTTGGACTGAAGTCGGTTCCTGCTGAGCCTTGAAGGCCGTTCTCGAGTGATTGCATCGAGCATTGTCGAGGATCAGTGCGTCCCCTGCCTCTGTGAAGACGTGGGGATTCTCGCAGTTTGCAAGGTTTGCAAGTGCAGGAATGAGTCGGGGCCTGCAAGTCAACTGCATCGCAGACCTCTGCAGCGGCAACCAGTGCCCGATGATAGGCTGCCTTCCAGGAGCAGCTTGTAGATCTGACGCTGGCTGCTTACGACAGCTCCGCCTGAGTCTCGGGGTCATCACTGACGATGCGGTATGTGAACTCCTCGGCACTGGGTATGTATTTGTACTGCTATCAGTACAAGTGCTGCTATACTAACATTGTATTTTGATGCTAGTACTACTAAAGTTGCGATTAGTGTGTGAAGTTTGCACTACGACAACCCTTCGTTCAGCGGTGCCATGAACACCATATGGCCTTGTGGTCCGGTATGTAGAAGAAGGTGATCTTCGGATCGCCCTTCTGGACAAAATCAAGAAGTAGTGTTTCTCGAATTTGTACTATGACTATTCCTATTACTACCTATTAATACTATTATTATCAGATATGTACTGGCATTACTAGTATTTTAGCGTCATGAATTAGTAAAGGAATCTCTTCAGCTCTGGGCTCTGGGAAGGCAGGACAGCCTGGCCTCTGGGCCCTCCACGGCATGGAAGGCTTGGCCGTAAGGAGAGACCCCGCCAGGCCTCTTAGGGTTGAGGGTTTGGGGTTGTTTGAAGGCTTAATTCACTGGTATATAGGGGGGGTAATAGAGGGCTATACGGGGATTGTGTAAAAGAACATGGAAACTACTATTGAAGTTTTAAGGTTAGTAGGGGATGAGGGCCATACTAACCACAAATAGGTTCACGTAGTGACTGCGTATTTCTCCTGGCAAGAAAGAGGCAGAGGAAAACAGTGCAAGAGGAGACTGAGGCACTGACCGGACACACTCCACTCTCACCGGACAGCGGCGGAGGGCCTCCGGCCAGGCTGCTTAAGCTTATTATTGGTGCTGGATGGGGAGAGGCGTGGATCCACATAATGATCCTTACATAACCCAAATGAAAGTACCTAGAAAACCTCCTTTAACACCAGAGCAAAGTAAGCAGGAAGCAAAGGCAGATCATTGGCCTGCAGCTCCCTGGAAGTTAGGCACTCGGCAAGGCGCCGGTGGCCGCAGACCAGGGTCTTTGCCGCATGCTGCGCAAGAACAGGGTGGGATCAGTTCTCAAAATTGACTGTTGTAGGAAATCGGTGGATTTGCGAAGTCTCTGTGAGCGTATCGCGTTGAGCTGCTGGCTAGTAACTATTACTGGAGCTCCAGGTGTTCTCAATATGAAACTGACGTTAGATATGGAAACTATACCACCAACATGTTTAAGCTTGCGTGTGCAACCCCACCAACAACTAGCACGTCATCGGGCCTTATGATCGTGAGAACCCCAATTGGCTGGCTGAATCCTCTGGGCCTCAGGATCTCCGCGTGCCGCAAGCAAGATGAAACCATCCGGCTCGCTGTCCGCGCCTGACACACACCTCACGGGAGAGATCTGAAAGCAGCCAAAAGTCACAGTCAGCCCAACGTTTTTCATCTGTTGCTGTTCAGGATGAGCTATAGTCTAAACTCCCACTATCCCCTCAATATCTCCCATAAGACTAGGAATAATCCCCAAAAGAATCCCTCATTTAGCCCCCTTCGAGCAGCTTAGATTATTGCTCAAATGTTGCATGCCAGCGGAAGTCAATGCAAGCCACGCGGCGCAGGGACATCGCGGTGGAAGCCCAAATCGATGTGCGGCTGGTTGATGCCTCCAAGGCCTCACTTCTCATGCTCACGCTTACCGTCAGCAGGGAGTCAACAAATAAATGGGTTCTAGGAGTTACTATAAGGGGAGGATCCGTTACCGCATTCCTTACGAACCACCAGTAGACATAGCTTCCTTGCCGCGGACTCTTCCTGCCCCGTATTCTCTGGGGAAGGCCTATAGGGGGATGGGCACGGACAGAAAACTCCTTGATCTAGCATTCCTATGACTTACGTGGACCCACGCCCGTTAACAGGGGTATCCAGGAATCCAAGAGGGGCCACTTAACCTATAGCCTTTTTCACGATGGGTTCGGCGAAAGCAAGGAGCGCTGATAACGCATGGCCAAGTCTTCATGGCAGTCAAAATGCCAACTCCATATGCACAACGTCAGCTGAGTCAGCTGTTTACATGCTCAGACCTACCGCCCAAGCATGGGAAGCATTTCTAAATTCTTTGGTGCTTGCGGACTCGTTCGTCAGCTCAGTCGGGCGAAATGGGCGACAGCCTCCGCTGCCGCTCAGCATTTCTCTGGGTCCCCCCTTCCGGCCGCCCCCTTCCAACAGCCCTGTCAAACAAGTTGCATGGCGACCCAGATCTCCGTGACGGTCTTCAACCTCTATCCCTGCTTTTAGCAGTTCCGCTGACAGGCCGCGGCGAGTGCGGGCCCTGAGAGGGAACAGCCCACTGCTCAGCTCGTAGATCGTCACGCCGGCGGCCCACATGTCCGAGCTCTTTCCGTCAAACGGCGGCTGGCTTGGATCGAAGATTTCGGGCGACTGATAGCGGAGCGTGCCGCTTCGATCCGTCACCAAAGCGCTTGCAGGGAGAGCCGGGGCAACACCAAAATCGGCAATCTTGACTGCGCCCTGCGCCTTCAGGAGCAGGTTGTCAAGCTTCAAGTCTCTATGGATGACATCCAGCCCGTGCATGGCCTCCACACCAAGAGCATCTCCTTGCTTATCCTCGGGGCTGCCTGGTAGGCGCACGGCTGCACTGGCAATAAAGCTCACTGATATCCTCAGTGGCTCCACGTCCACCTCTCGCATTCAAATCTCAGACGCGCAACCTTCTGAATAGACGCCGGTTCTTGAGCATCATCAATTTTTGTCGTAGTCAACGCTTCGCCAGGGCCGCTGGAAAGAAGGCAGAAGTCAAAACTGACGAGGAAGAACCCCTTATGCCGCCGATGGTTATCGGTCGCGGCAAGGAGGGCCAAGTGCACAAGGGCAGTTGTACCAGCGTTGATCTAGCAATCAAGGTGACCGCGCATGCATCAAAAGAGGCAACATTTCTTCGCCTTTTCCGTTCGGACCACATCGTAAAGATGCTGAGTTTTTATGAATCACTTGGCGCTATTCGCATGCGCATGGTGGATGTGGAACCACCCAGTTTATGAGTGGGGCGGCCAAGATTTGCATGCGCGCATGGTGGATGCGGAACTCGACAAACAAAGTTCCAGATGGCTCCGCGAAGCTTACATGCTGGAAGGCCAGCAGCCACCAGTCCCTGCAAACCAGAAGCCACATGTGGTACACTTGATTCACATGACGGCCCATTTTGTCTATCATGAATCCACTGTCTGCTTGCACTTCAGGAGATGAACGCTTGCTAAGTCCGCAGCCGGTGTCTGCCAGACTACGTATACGTAATACAACCGTAGCGCACATCTATCTGAGCTTCGCCGCATGTCTATGCATGTGTGTTTCTGTCTCCAGATATAATCAGTAACCACAACCCCTACCCAACAAGGCGTGCCTGGCTTCGGCGCAAGGTCTCGAATTAGCCCTCCACGGGCATTCTCTGTGTAGAACCTTAACATCGTTTACGGGTTAAGGATTGCGGGTATCTAGCTTAGGTTTAGGGTTTTGGAATTGCAGAAATCAGGTTAGGGTGTTTGGGGATGTGCACAGAATACATATGATATAGGTTGCCTACATCGGGGCTTCCATACATAGCTTGGGGCCTTCATGTAGAATCAAATAGCGCCTCCCAATAAGAGACCCTCAATTTTGGGAACCCCACGACTTTGGCAGGCTCAAGGCTCAAATGGAGAATCCCTCAACCAAAACTATCTTCTTTGCTGGACTCCCCGTCCGATGAAGGCAAGGGATTGTAAAGGACCACCAACAAGTATGGGCCCATACTTAACCCTCAACCCTAAACCCTACACCCCTAAACCCTGAAGCCCTCAACCCTAAACTCTGAAGCCTAAACCCTAATTCCGAGGTTATGCTTGCTGAGCTGCCCCAGCAAACCATAGGGAAGCCCCAGGCATCGTGCGAGGCCCAAAAGCCAGGCCTGTTCTGAAATAGGAGAACGAGAGGGCGTTAGGGGTTTTAGGGTTTGAGGGGTTTTAGGTTTGAGGGGTTTTGAGTTTTAGGGTTTAGGGCTTTGGGTTTCGGGCTTAAGGAAAGAAAATAGGACTAGGGGTTAGGATTTATAGTAATAGATTACTTGGGGGCTCAGAGAGTGTGGCATTTCTCAAGGCAACCCCTCTGTCATCCCAGGTAAAGACCCCCTGACCTCCCTGTAAACCCCAATTCTACTACCTTGGGGTCCCGAAAAAAGACCGCTTTTTGAGCAACTGCCATATTTTTGCTACCGGAGGGCAGGTGTGAGGGAAACTCTCTATCTCTCATGGCATACATTGCTTTCAAGCAAGCTCAGACATGCACGATTTCCAAACGTCAGGAATGACCGTTGCCTTTCTGGTGGTAAGGAATCGAAGAATGGATCTCAATAGTCGTCCCTATACTGCGCCCTCATAGTTGTTCCTTTTTCCACTCCTTCAGAAGTCCCCAGTGCCTACCAGTAAGTTACCTGCTGGACGGTCCGCCTCGGCCACCGGTAGCCGAAACTCCCCAGGCAGCGCCGGCGTGGGTGGGATCCTTGCCTAAACCCTATAAGGATTTCTTTGTCATGCAACTGCAATAAAATGTCTGTCTCCAACAAATCTTTATCCGGTTCTCGTCCCACACTACTCTCCTTCACTAAGAAGAGGCCAGGATCTCTTCATCCAGAGGCAAACCTGATAACCACAGCGCTGGCGGCGCTTCCGGGTCCGCAAAGAGGCGCAGCACTTCGTGCAGGGCCTGGCGCAGCGGGGGACAGCGAGCTTCTCACAAGGATCATAAAAGCCTGAGTTGGAGTCTGGAATGTCTCCAATTCAGGATCCCGTAGAATTTGCTGAGGAGAGTTGACTCAGCATTGCCGAAAGATCCCATATGCTCCTCCACGCGCGCGCGAAGTACCTTTCCAACTCTTGGGTCTCTTGTCCCAAACTTTTGGTCCTTTACCAGTCCCAGAGAGCGCTCTGCCTCCACTTCCAGAGATACCTTCTTGCCGCTCATCAGGCACACATCCACCGAAATCGACATGATTCTTGCGCAACCCTGAACCCATAAAAACCGGAAAGACCCAAACCCAGGAACGTGGACCCTAAATAGTAGGATCCTTATGTTAAGGACCCTTTTTTCTGATCCCAAGCTGAGCCCTGCTCGAGCCAGCCATTCGTCAAGATGAAGCTGACCCTATCAGGACCCTCAAGTACCCTTTAATGAAGCCCTTCCCCACCCTCCAAACCCTTGTACTGTAAGGTATATCCTCAGACTGCATAGTACTACATACATGTCTCTTAGGTCCTCATCCCTGAAGCCGGGCTTTTGGGCCTCTTCGGGAAGCCACTTGACCACCAGTTTGTAGCACCGCGTCACGGCCCTCCTTGGGCCAACAGCTGAGAATGAAAACCAAGCAAAAAAATCCTGTGTGCTATCACACTAGATTTTCAGTTTCTTAAGAAGGAGAATTCAATGGATGCTACTGACACAGGGGTTTCTATGTTCTTGTCCACTCCTATGATGAAGAAGGATGCCAAGAGCCGCACTCCGTCCGCAGAGGATCTTTGAGAGCGTTCCAGAGGAAGTCCTGCGCAGATGAGATGGTTCAGGGTTTCTTGCTGCTGCTTCACAGGGAAGCAAGAAAGAAAGACCTGAGTTCTTGTAGTGGCCACTATATAATCAGCCCCGTTTACTTGCACGTGTAGCCTATGCAATTCCTTTATTTGAGGTTTAGTCTAAACTCCTAGCCCCCCTTTCAGGAGTGTAGACTACTGACTACAGCTCATTTCCTACTCATCAAGAGATGGGAAGCTTGGCCTGCCTCCTCCGTGCAGACTTTGAAGAAATCCTCTCGGAAGCCTTCCAGGCCACTCAGCCTGCAAGCACAGCCAAAATAGTAGCTTCCATGTTCTTCTTCCATCATTTTGAAAATGGCCCTCTACACCTCCTATATGAGCTATAGTATCCTTCTTAATAACCACTATAGTAGTCCCCCTATATTATCCCCTATCAACCTTCCTTTAAGGAGTTTAGACTATAGCTCATATAACTCTCAACCCCAAACCCTTGCAACCCTAAACCTTTGCAACCCTGAACCCCAAACCCTAGGACAGCAGGAGGGCCTGATCCGAGAGACATTCCCCGAGTACGACTTCCTCGCCACCTGGCGGACCGCCGCGCTGCTGACTCTGAAGACATCTGAAGAATATTGGTTCTAGTAGGGAATTAGGGAGTATATATATATATACATAATATAGGGTTCAGGATTTAGGGTTCAGGGTTGGGAATAGAGGGATTACATAGGGATTCTATTCCATTATTCCCTACTAAGAACCAGCAAGTGAAGAATTAACCTGGTGGCGCGGGCCTTCAAACGTCGGCGTATGGCAGAAGTTGCCCTCCGATCAAGGAGCATGACGAAACAATCTCACAGCGGCCAAATAATCCATTATAGTAGTTTCCATTTTCTTTTCCATTCTTCCCACATCCCTACAATCCCTACATTTGTTGCCAAGCTGCCATGCGCCCAGTACAGGCGGCAGCACGCCCGCCGTCCAGAGAAGCCCGCGCTCTGCAGGCTGAGCCAGCGCATTGGCAGAAGGCGGCCTGGGCCGCAGCCGCGAAGGCTGCGAGGGCTGCCAGCGCTGTGCCGTGTGCGTGGGTGATGCCCAGGCTTCCATCAGAATTAGTGTGTCTTGCGGAATTTCTGGCAATATCTTAAATATGCTCTAGCTGTCACGCAATTGCACAGGCCATGAATGCGTGTTTCCAAGTCCGAATTGCTCTTGCTTGATGCCTCGAGCTGCGAACTACAAGAACCTCGGGCTGGCCCAACAAACCTCTCCAAGTTGCTCAGACCTTCAAGAAAAAGATCAGAACTAGCGCCTCAAACTCTGACACCAGGCTCTGCTGAGCTTTCACCAGCGAAGCCTGCAGGCTCAGAGATACAAAAAGCCTTTCCATGCCGTCGGTAGTCTCCTCCATGCCTCGACACCCTGGGTCATGGCATATTCGCAGGCACGGCGGAAAAGGTATTCCGTGTGGTACCTCCAGGCTGCAAAATTGCACACATGTGCAGAGATGCTAAGTTGGGTGCAGCAGGGCGGAGCGTGCCACATGCCGCGAATGGTTGCATCTGTGGTGTCATTCAGCCGCTCAAAGTCGGGCATTCGCGGCTCCTGCATGTCGTTGCCTACTTGAGGAAGCTCAGCTACCCCAAGAGCATCCACACAACTACAGCCTCTGGGGAGAGATGCTAGCTACACTACCCAATCTTCTGGGAGAAGTGCTACCCTTTTGGTGTGGGGTGAAGGGGCTTCTGTCCTCCTGCTCGGAAGCAACGGCCTCTACCACAGCTGCGTAGGCCTTGTTGGCCAGCAGCATCTGCTGCCGAATTAGCCCATACCTCCAAATTCAAAAAACAATATTGAATGACGACAGTATGGGTGTTTCCGGCTAAACAGCGGTCAAAAATGCATGTTTGGACTGGGGTACGTTTCGGGGGTACGTTTCGGGGGTATGTTTCTGGATATGTTTCGTAGTGCTGGGCTCTTGACGAAAAGACGAAAAGGACGTCGTGCAAACATGCGCCCTTGATGAATTCCTGGCGCGCCATTTTATGGAAACAGCCATATAAGAGTAGTAGCAATGGTAATCATAACTCAAAGTTGCCGACGTGCCGGCACTTTTGGAGCTGAAGTCTGATTTTCTGAGCGAGGCCTCTGAATGCGCTGGATGGCGTCGGAGTAGAGGCGTTCAAAGACACCCTTCAGCACCGGTGGGTTCCGCGTCATCCCGGCTTCCATGATGTCCTGCGGCTCTAACACATGCGGCTTTCCCAGGTCCTTATGGTCCCTTAGATAACCCTGTTTTGCCCTATGTACTGTGATATAGCAGTATCAACCAACCCTATATAGCCCTAAACAATCTTATATAGCCCTGTATAACCGTATATACCGTTGCATAGCTTGCTCCAAGGTCCCAAAACTGAAGGAGTCCTTGAGGCCCACTTTCTCCATGATGTTGTCGACAGTGCCAGCTACACCAGGACCAGCGTCCAGCGACACGACCTGCAGGTGCCGCAGAATGTTACCACATCAGACAGGTAGCCTGGCGATTACAAAACTACTTCATTACTCTACTTTCAGTATTACTACATTACTGTATTTCTACAGTACTATAAAATTGTAATACTGTATAACTCTATGACTAAACAATTTCCACATTACTACATTACTGTACTGCTACCGTACTATAGCTATAGTACTATACTACTTTAGTACTGTATAGTACTGTATTACTCTCTGACTTCATTACGGTACTCTTTCTGAAGGATCTCCATGGAAGGTTAGGGATAGGCTCCTCTTTGAGGGATCTGTATGGATCCTGTTGAGAGACTTTAAAAAATTTGTCTCTCAAGAGCAACATCATCATACTCCAGTAACATAGCAACATAAGTAATATGATAGCCTGGATACAATACTATAGTACCATAGCGATATAACAATCACAGCGTAGCGGAAGGCTTCCGAGTTGCACCAGGCACCCGAGGCAGGGCCTTGATGTTCTCCATGCGCTTCCGCAGCTCGTCGATGGTGAGGAGGAGTTTCGAGATCTCTTCCTGGCATCTTTGCTCACGGAACTTCAGAGGAATAGATTTCTTTTACACTCTTTCTAGGGATGCCTTCATGTACTATGTCACTGCGTTCACTACCCACCCTAAGCCCGAAACCCTCAAACCCTGAACTCCTGAATCCTAAACCCTAAACCCTAAACCACCCTTAAACCCGAAAACCCTGAACCCTAAACCAGGAGCGGCTCAGATTTCATACCCTCGCCTGCTGCTTCTGCGTGATACGCTTTAGCTCCTGAACCTCCTTCGGGTCTCCTGCAATGATCGGTCAAAGTAATGATCATCAGGGGCTTAGGGTCTATAGGGCTTAGGTATTAATAATAGGACCTGCAGTAAGAGTAACAAAGGTAATATGAATGAAAATATACAATGATTAATAGTGATAATAAGAATAACACCAATCGTAATAATACTGAGGAAAATTAGAGGACAGGCAAGGACAGGGTGATGAATCTGAGTTCAGAGGAAGACCAAAACAACAAATAGAATTGTTAACAAGACAGCCTGCCTTAAAACCCCGGCCCTAAACCCTAAACCCTGGCCCTTTGGCCTTTGTAGACCACTTCCTTTGGCGCCTCTTCGACCCGCACAACCTCCTCCTCCAAAGGTACGCATGCACCCGTCTAGTCGAGGGAGGTTGGGTCTACCTGGGCATGGTTCTGCAGATGTTTGAAGCTGCTGGAAGTAACCGCTTGACATGTGTGGTGCTTAAGATTCCTTGTTCCTAAACCCTAAACTCTTATGGCCAACTCCTGTTCTTGAATCTGGGCCATCTGGTTTGTTGTGATTTAAGTGGGGCAACAAGGAGCACTGGATGAAAGGATACCTCGCGGTCCTGTTGGCCAGCAAACGTTACACGAAAAGGAGTAGAGAGTTAAACAAAAGTGGAAACATTGGGGGGATACCTACCATAAGGACGCTGGTATATTGGGGTAGACGAGGCATCCTCATTTTCATGGAAAGCCCACCACTTTCTAAGCATCACCTCATAAGTGAGGTCTGCTAGCGCAGATATGCTCAGATTTCCTGGCATGTCTGACAAGGAGCCAGTTTCAATCATGTGCGGCCTTTGGCGGCTCGGCCACCGGCGGCGGTGCGCCATCTTTGGCAAAGCTAGCCTTAGCCCGCATTACCCTAGGAAGAAAAACGGATTTAATGCATAAATACAAGGAATCCCATAGCCCAAAACATAGAAAGGATCCCGAGACCTTGCAATCATATCCCTATAATATCCCTATATAACACACACGCATATCCCCCTGTCAAGGATCCCTAACATTGAGCCAGTAGCGGCGTACTTGTTCAGGGCCTCGCTGACCCAAACCTGCTGCCGGGCAGAAATAGATGAGGGGTGTCCCAAAATTAAGGGCACCGTTTTGAGGGTCCCTAAAAAGAAGCACTGCAATATTTTGGGGTCCAATTTGGGGTCCCTCTATTTATGGAAACTACCAGGTGCACGGACTACATTTTGCCGTTGTGTTTGTTTGCAGCGAAATGTGCGCGCGATTTTACCTGCGTTTTGCTAGGACTTCGGAGACATGAGTCCAAAAAAGGCCGAAAAGCCTGCTTGGGTTTATGAACTGTTTAAGGTTTAGATTGCCCTCGATGTTATTGTGGTTTGGGCATGGACGGTAAACGTATGCTCTTGAACAAGGATGTTATTGTGGTTCGGGCATGGATGCTCTGGTAAACGGATGCTCTCGAACATGGATGTCATTTTGCTTTGGGCATGGATGCTCTGGTAAACGTATGCTGTCGAACATGGATGCTGTTGTGGTTTGGGCATGCGTGCTCATACGTGTAAACGTATGCTCTTGAACATTGGTGTTATTATGGTTTTGAGCATGGATGCTCTGGTGAACATATGCTCTAAAACATGTTATTAGGGTTTGGGCATGGCTGCTCTGGTCAATGTATGCTCTCGAACATGAATGTTATTATGTTTTGGGCATGGATGCTCTGGTAATCGTATGCTCTCTGAGAATGAGGTGCTGCGCAGACAACTGGGCTGCGAGGCTATGTAGTCAGAACACGGGACATATCACTAAAAGGCTAAAAAAAGGAAATTTGCACGAAACACGACGGCAAAATATGGCCCGTGCTCCAACTACCATACATAATTCGTATAAGGGAATATAATAGAGGTTATAGGGAATAGGGTAATAGAGTATATAGGGACTATTATGAGCTTTTGTGCGCTAAGGTATGTGAAGACTTTCTTATCGAATCAGGGGCCTTGCAAAGCCTGACCCCATGCCTAAGAGTAGCCAGCCCTCGCCTCCCACTATCACAGCGGGAGGCTCGGACTTTGTCGTCTTTGTCGTAGCCAGCCCTCGCCGCCCACTATCACAGCGGGAGGCTCAGACTTTGTCGTCTTTGTCGTTGCCAGCCCTCGCCGCCCATTATCACAGCGGGAAGCTCAGGCTTTGTCGGCTCTGTCGTAGCCAGCCCTCGCCTCAAACTATCACAGCAGAGCACCCTGGTCCTAAATTTTGCTGTATAGATATGTCCCCTTATTATACTCTTGCACACTCCCAGGGGAGTTTGCCGAAATTCTTGAACCCTCAAGCCTACAGGCCAAGTCCTAATTTATGAATTCACAAGTCTAAGTCTCAAGCTCTCAGTGCAAGTGCAAGCCACAAAGGCAATACAGAACCCTAAAACCTAAACATCCTTGGTCATCAGCTCGCCTCAAACTTTGGCGACGCTTCCTTCATGGCCTTCAACACCTGAGCCGCTTTGAATCTCACACCAAGGCGAACAACTGGAAGGCACCAGAGACCGCGGGCTTCATGAAGGCATATACCCATATCATTGATTGTATTCAGGGGACCTTGCAATCCTCTCCCTCCAATATTACACACCCAACCTACGCCTCATTTTGAACATTCCTTCTGCGGTACATTGCAATTTATTGGGAATATGCAATTGCAAGAGGGTGGGGCAGTTTCAATTAAGGGGAGGGGTCAGCTCCCAGGAATGCTGCTCGAGCTGGACTACAACTTCAGGAAGCATTCGGGGAAGCATTCGGGGCATTTCTCAAAATGAGGGGCGACTCTTTGTCGAGATGAAAGGATATGGGTCACCCTGCATACAGTACCCCAACTGTAGTAACCTTCGCATTGGTAAGGGCTTGATTTCGCAAAATAGTCCTTTCTCAAGACATGATCCTTGACAGGGACCCCCTCAATCCCCTTATAGCCCATACATGTACATGTCCCTAGGGTCCCTTAACTGGGTTGCTGTTAAGCAACTTCTTTTGCATTATTATTAAAAGCAAACCCCATGATTTCCTATACACCCGTATTATGGTAAGTTCATTTAAGTTTCATAACAGCCACCCAGTAAACGGCCTGAACAAGCACAGCACGCGCAAGCCTCAGCCGGCGTCAGATCCGTAGTTGCAAAGCCCTGGCGGAAAGTTTCTGAAGGCTTCCAAGAGCACGTGGAGGAATCTTCTCAACACAGAGACATATTCTCAAGGATGTTAGGGATATGTAGGGATTACACGGCAAGGGTCCTTCTTTAGGGTGATAGAGAGGCAATGAAGCTGCTGCAGGGAAGCCAGCCTGCATGAATTTGAGCTCTGCTTGCGGAACCTGCCAGCAACTTGTTTTTCTTCTTTTGCAAAGCAAACCCCTCATAGGCTCTTCTCAAGATGATGAACCCCTTCTGGCACAGACTAAAGTACAGCCAAAATTCATTTGGGGTGGTCATTTAGGGGGGAGGTAATCTTAGCCCCCTAGCCCACCATATTCTATCTACTTAAGGGGGACTATAAACCCTAAACCCTAAACCCTAAATAGTAGTTTCCATGTACTTTTTCATTATCCATATATAACCCCAATATAACCCTAATATTCTATCTACTTAAGGGGTACTATAATGTGTAGGGTGGCCTTGTGGCCGGTGATTGATGCCAACTTGGAGAAGCCGCGGAGCGCCACCTCCATGGTCTGCCTGACAAAGTTGGGGGTTTAGGGCCTGAACTTAGGCTAGGTTTAGGGTTCAGGGGTTTAGGTTCAAGTTTTTAGGGTTAAGGTTGAGAGGTTTAGGGTTCAGGGCTTTAGGGTTCAGGGGCTTAGGTTTAACGTTTTAGGGTTTAGGTTCAGAGGTTTAAGGTTTAGGGTTCAGGGCTTTTTTTTTCAGGGCTTTAGGGTTCAGAGGTTTAGGGTTTTGGTTTTCGGGCTTCAAGGAGCCCCTGAAGCTGTTCAGAAAGTCCCAGGAACTGCAAAGGCTAACCTTCCTGCATCCCATACCTTAAGAAACCCCCTGTATAGACACCACAAACACTCCCCTAGAACCCCTAAATCCCTCAAACTCCTCCCGTCAAACCCCTACACCCTTAGAAGTCGGTTGAAGTTGGAGTTGTCAGGCCTTGCGGCTGTGAGCCACTGAGCCACCTGATTCCGTAGCTCTGCTGCGAGAGCCTGCGGCTTGGCAGTTTTGGTGTTCAGGGTTTATAGTCCCCCTTAAGTACATAGAATATGGCTTTGGGTATATTAAAGCAAGATCCTTTTCTACCCCGTACTCTATCAACTACGAGATACTATAGTGTTTTGGCGTTTAGGATTTAGGATTTAAGGTTTAGGATCAATGACTTCCTTGGGTCTCTGCAGCAGTTCTCAGAAGCAGGTCATTCCCCGGTTCGATTTATCTCAACGTTAGCTCGTTCCACCTGTGTCACATCCTGGAGAGGAGGCCCAACACACTTAAGCAGTGGCAGAGGCTCTGGTTGGGGCAACAGCTCTGCATGGACATTGCCTTACTTTTCCGGATTTCTCGCATCAAGAACTGGCCAGTCATTGCAGTATTTCCTCACGCTGCTCCCCAGGTGGTTCTTAAACTACAGGATGTGCCGTGCGTTGATTGCTTGATCGGGGATGCACTTGTGCTTAACTACGGGGTAGGACATGATGAATACATGTCTCTCTGTTTCACCATTTAATTCGATGCGCAACAGGGCGCGTCCGAATCCAGACTCAGAGCCCGCAAAGAGCAAAGAGAATTAGGGTCAATGGTTTTGGTGTCGCATCCTAAGCCCAGGAAAGAGCCTCGGCTTTCCGCTGTGCCGCCAGGGCGTCTTCCAGGGCTCCGGCCTGGGGGGAAAGAGTCTCAGGCTTTAGAGTTTGTAGGGTTTACGGGATGTTTAGGGCGTTTAGGGTTTCAGGTTTTTGGGGTTTTTTGGCTTTTACGGTAAAGGGGTTAGGATCCCCAACCCTCGCCAAATTTGCAGCCCCCCCCCCCACTCAGCAACAGATGTTCCCAATTGCAGATGAGAATGAGGACGAGAAGAGGTTGGGGGGGCTAGCATTGAAGGCATTATCTTGGTATGCAAGAGCCTGTGGATCGCCACAGAAAGAATGGCTGTCCTCATGAAAATGCCGTGAATCTGCCACCTAAACGCCATGGCAGCTTGTGCAAGGGGCCTTTTCTCCTCGGAAAATCGAGCCATGGCTGGTCTCCCGACTCCTCCCCGGAAGGTTTTCCTCATCTTCGACACCTCGCAGTTCCCTGGCAGTTGCCGTCTGAGGCACTTCAGGTTCTAAGGTCCCCGATCTTCACCTAAGAGCTCCATGTCTTTTTGAAGAGTTCACTTTAGCTCACTTCAGCTTCGGCATCGTCGTCCTGAGAACATGCTACTGCGTTTGGGATCCTCATGGATGCACTCCTGGCCGCATGGTCCTGGTTTTGGGCCTCCACCATGGCATGGCAAAGCCTTGGCATGCTTCGGCATGATGGCTCGTGTTCCTTGATGACCAGGGAAGCTGAGGCAAGTACCGCATCGCCAGCGAGGACACGTGCGGCTCATGTAGCATGGCAAAGTGATCGCCTGCAGCCTTCACTGGGGCCTCTCGGCATTCAGCGGCAGGAAAATGCACCAGAGATCAGGGCGCCGTCAAGCAGAAGAAAAACAGCAAAAAAGGCTCGAGCCTCCACTTCCCCAACAGCTGCCAGGTGCTGTGCCACCCGTGCATCCTCCTGAAAGATTTGCTCCTTGCAGCATAGTGAAACAGGCTAAGAGCACCCTTACAGGTAAAGCACGTTATTTCAGAGAGCCTGCACGCGTTGAACAATCTTCTCCGCCTGGCCCACCTCGGGCTGTCTGCCGTGAGTCCCCTATAATAGGGATAATGGAAAAGAAAATGGGAACCACTGTTACATATAGGCGTTATATAGGGACAATGGAAAATAAATTGAAAACTAGTGCTTATATTGGGATAATGGAAACTAAAATGGAAACTACTGTAGTATATTGCGGTTCCCGTGCCGGGATGCCGGGATCCTGACAGGCGAACGCCCGCGCCAAGCTTCCCTTGCCCGGACCCACAGCAACCTGCCACGAGCTGTCGCAACTTTCGCGAAAAAGGAAGAAGTCTCCAGACCTGGTCTGCAAAGTCTCTGCCTCCGGCCCTGGAAGTGAGAAGAGCCAACCATGGATTGCTCAGTAGTATTAATCATAATATCAAGAATGCTAATGAAATACTGATAGGAATGGTAGTAATGATAGCAGTAGTATGGTAGCAGTAGTAGTAGCAGTAGCAGTAGTAGTACTAGTAGTAGTAGTAGTAGTAGTAATAAGAATAACAATAATCATAGCTCAACTCTTACTATCTCCAAGGCCGTGGCAGGTAGCAGTGGCCAGCAGGTTTGCATACCATCGGAAGGTCTCGTGCACGTGCTCCAGGACTTGGGTGGCTGCGCCAAGGTGCTCGCGCACATCGCGGCCGGAAGTGGAGGCGTCCTGACATAGGGTTTAGGGTTTAGGGGTTTAGGGGTTTATGGGTTGAGGGTTTAGGGTTTGGCTGCACGTCCACTACCTGCGGCATGCCTAGCACATCCTTCGCAGAGATTGTCGAACTGTGCTTACAAGCAGGTGAGAACTGAGGTATGAACATTACAACTATATTTCTATTATTCCTAATATTACTATTCTTGCTATCAGTATTACTATTACTATCAGTATTACCATTTCTGTCAATATTACTACTGAGCTGCATCCACACAGAGCTTCAAAATCTGTCCTCGACCAGCGAGGCATAGCGAGCTCCATCGGCTACGCTCTGAGAGAGCATGGCCACGGTCTCGAGGAGGCCACATTCCTCGAAGAGAGTTCCTGGCCATTGGTACCCCTTTATTGGGATTAGAATCTCTTGGGGTGTATATTGGGTACCCTTTTATAGGGAGTATTTTTTGTTGGGGTCTATATAGGTACCCTTCTATAGTTGCTCAGTGCTTGCTTGCCCCTGCCTGCTTCTGTCAGGGGCAGCAGCGTCCGCGGGTCTAGCAGCGCCACCAGAGCCACAGAGATCCCCGAAGCCTCCAAGAGATGGGATGCAACATGCAAACAAGTTCTCGACATACATATTACGTAGGGATTATATTGGGATAGTGGCAAAGAAAATGGAAACTAGTACGTTATACTGGGTATATATATATATATAGGACTACTATAGGGACAATATACTTGGTACAAGGCAAAACCTTCCCGCCTGGGCCTGGCGCGCCATCTCCAAGCAGACGGTGGCGCCAAAGGAGTGGCCCGCCAGGAACAGGGGCCCCGAGGGACTTACGGCCCGGATCTGACAGATCAAGCACAGTAAGCCACCTTGTAACAGCCTGTATAAGGGGTCATAGTAAGGGCAGAGTATACAAATCATCCAGCTGTTACAGGGTGGGGGCAATGCCAAAGCAAGACTATTCACAATAGAGATAAATGTAATCATAATAGAAACAATGACAAGAGTAGCAATAGCAACAATCATGGTACACATACTGTGGTAATAATGATATTGGGTAGACCAGGCCTCTGCCAAGAGGAGCTCTGCCAGGGCCTCCAAGGACTCCGGCCACCTGACGAGGGGTGCGGTTTAGAGTTGAGGGTTTAGCGGCTCGAGCATTGCTTCACCGAGCAAAGCACCAACACCTTTACTTACTAGGGGTTAGTGGGAATAAAGGAAGACAGTATATAGGGATTCTATAGGGAGGGCTTCCCTTATTTCTTATAAACCACCAGTAAGCTTAGGCTTGAACAATTCCGTGCACTTTTCTCCTCAGGCTTGCGGTTTGTCCCGCCATTCTGCGGGAGGTCTTAGAACTTTCTTCTGAGATTATCTCAGAAGGAAGGGTGGTAGGGCGTGTCCTTAGGCAGCGAGGGGTCAAAGTCAGGCGCTTTGCCTGCTCGGAGGGACCTGGCAAAGAGGAGCAGGACCGACACGGTCCCCCATAACAGGCCCACGATCACGCCAGCCTCCAGCAGGTGCGAGCTGCTTTCAGTGACCTATGTATCTTACCAAGCCTTGCACAATAAGCTGGGTTGCTGTCAAGGAACTGAAATTAAGATACTATAATATGGGTATAGAATAAAGAATAGGGTTTCCTATGATACTGACTTAAGTCAAGTTCCTTAACAGCAAGCCAGTCCTGAAATATCTTGGCGGAGGTCTACATGCCTACGCAGAAGCATCAGGTGCCTGGCATATGAGCTATAATCCATATTTCCTACACAATTTGATGGACATGGGTTCCTGATTAGGAGCTAGTCCACTGTCCCAGGGCCCCTGAATGAGGCTAGTCTTGACATTTGCTCATACTGTTTATAATACGAAAAAAACCTGCATGACCTTAATCTACTATAGCACTGTTATGCTCAAGGTACAAGGTATTTAGGGTCATGCAGGAATCTAGTATCCACCGATGACCCGAAGACTAAGCCGCAGGCATCGAGGATGGCCCGGTACGGATTTGGGAGCTTCCGCACGAAGACAACCACGAAGAAGATGGTGGTTGTTACACACCAACTGGAAATTACACGCTTTCGCGTCCCATGGAAATAGCCAATGCAGAAGGCTGGGGCAAAGAGCTTGTGAAAGACCGTAGCTGTAGCTTTCTGTGTTGAAGAGACGTCCTTTCCCATGAGTCGGGCCACAAACTGAGTCAACAGCAGCGTCGGAGGAAAACGAATAGGAGACGCCGCCTTGTGCAGCGCATAGGCCAACGCGGCCGCCCCGTAGTACTTGCTGTTGGGCACGTTGATGCCAAGAGCTGCTAAGGCGCCCGCGACGTCAAGGCCGCGCTTGACCAGCTCATAGAACAGCGTGTAGGAGCAAATGGACAATGAAATTGAGGACGCCAAGTATGCGGCGCCGTAACGCTTCAGTAGGTCCCTGCAGGAGACTTAGGTGACTTAGGGTCTTTGCCTAAGGATGCCTTATAGAACTCTTACCCTCCCCTCTGCTCCCAGCACCTTGTTGAGACCTCCGGAAACTTCTCAGACACTGCCCAGGCGCGGCTAACAACACGCGGACAGAAGCCCTTCTGGAATCCCCGGTAGCCCTCCACGTATGCAAAGAAGCCTAGCCTGCGAAGAGGGTCATTTTTGGATGTAGGGTTGAAGGTTTAGGGACAAAATGATGGCATCTTGTTGCTCATAAGTGCACGAAAACTCTACTTTGGAGCAAGAGTCGTAGCTGCGAGCATAAGCCACTGCCAGGGCGTGGTGATGCTTGCGATACCATTGTGCACAATGGGAACTACCTTCTTCACACCGTAGGACAAGTATGCTGCCACCCCAAGCACACCCCAAACTTGCACGGCTCGAGACCGCTCTGGCTCAGCCAGAGCCACCGTGCTACCAGAGCTGTTCGCGCTGCTCTCTTCAGGCTCAGCGAGCACCGAGACCCTCGAAACGCGTCCAGGGCCCGCAGGGCCTACAAGGCCCGCAAGGCTGGGGCGCAGGCCTTCACTGGCCTCACTTCGCCCACTTTGCGGCACGGCAAAAGCTTGCCCTAGGGCCAGGACGACAGAGATGAGGCAGGCTGCGACGCAGGCGCTGCAAATACAGAGCCATGGCCGCCTCTGGACCTTTCTCCACGGACGACCGCCCATGCTGGGCATCAAAACTTTGAGCCTTCAAATCTCTTCACGGAACTTCTCACTTACCTTATCAGCCAGACATGCAAATCGCAGGATATCACACAAGAGATTACTAAGGATCACAGTGGTGCAGCATGAATGGCACTCGGCCTCTCCCTTGGTAAGCTCTGGGGCCAGGAAACACTCCAGGTGGGCACCGGAAGCAAGGAGGCCAAGGATTGGAAGCCAGCAGCCTCGACATACTTCAGAGCTGTCAGAAATAGGGCAGGGGGGATCCTAAAGTTTAGCGTACCTCTTGTTGGGGTTTAGGGTTTAGGGTCTCTCCAAATTTGGGCTAGGATGTCGGGGTTCCCATGAGAAGGATTATAGTATTTGTTGTCTAGATGTATTTGGGGTCCCCCTGTTCTCAACAGCAGACCCTACCGATCCTCCTTAAAAGGACCCCCTACAGCCCTTCCCCTCACCCATCCATACAATATGAGCTATAGTCTAAACTCCTTCCCCCTAATAACCCTATATAAAACCCCCTTATATACTCCTCTATAGAACACCCTTTAAGGAGTTTGGAAACCCTAAACTATGCTAAACCCTAAATTCTGTTGTAGTTTCCATGTTCTTTTACATTATCCCTGTATAACCCCTTGAAGAAATCACCCTTCTGACATGTCAGTGCTGTCTGCAGGTAGTAGCAGTTCCTTCAGTGTCAGTTGTTTCTCCACTGTTGCTGTGATAGGCCCAAGGCCCAAATCATCATGCAACATATCAGTCGTCATTGCATGTAGGATGTAGCACAGTCACAACACCTACAAAGACTTTGATGTTCTGCTCTGCGTGGTAACGAAAAAGGCCCCAGGGTCCGCGTGTGCTGCCATGGATGAAAGTTTCCTAAGACGTCGCACTGCAGTAAACCCTGGGAATCTTATAGATCTTCAGGTTATGAGTCCAACCGC